CATATAAGACTCTGCAGCATGCAGGGAGGGAGCTCAGGACTTACTCTGTGGAAGACTTTGGGATCAGAAATGGAACCTGGGTTTACAATTTGAAATGGAATTTTACACCAGACTAAACCAACCAACCTCTCTGCTTTATTCCTAAGGGCAAATGGAAATGTTTGATTGGTGGCTTCAAAGGTCACCCACCATATGCCATGACATTGGCTGAGCACAGCTGAACAAGGTGCCCTGAGCTGCTGGGGCACTTGGCCACTGAGCTGGTATCCATTCACAGGGGTCTCTCTGGGCTGCAGTGCCTTGGGGCAGGGAGAGGGCGCCCATAGGGGTGAAGAACAGGATTTCATTAGTGTTTAACTGTGGGATTGTATTAAACAACAGTGAGGATTAAGGTTGATGCTCACTTGAATAATGAAGCTCCTAACACGTTTTTTTAAATTTTAACAGCTTGAAATACATTTCACTTACTATAAAATTCACCCATTTAAAGTGTATGGTTAAGCATTTTGTTTTTGTTTTTTTGTTTTTTGTATATTCACGGAGTTGTGCAGCTATCACTACCAGCTAATTTTAGAACATATTCATCACCCCAAAAAGAAACCCCATACCCACTGGCAGTCACCCCCATTCCCCTTCCACTCCTAAACTCTGGCAATCACTAATGTACTTGCTATCTCTAAAAACATTCCTAGTGAAGACATTTCATCTCAGTGGAATCACATACCATGGCTAACACCACTCTCTTGCATGACGTGTTCTAATTCGCCTCATGCTTCCTTCACAGATAGTTAAAAGATTATCTGAATTGTTGCCCTGCACACAGTGAATTTCTTTCTTTCTTAATTTCAAAATACATGATCTTACTTTTTGTTGGAATATTTTAAGCCTATCTTAGAGTTTCTGTATTTTCTTACCTGTATAGTAATAAAAACAGTTAAAAAAAAAGAAAAAAATAATTTACCTTATGCTTCACCCATACTCTTTTCCTCCATTCTCATGTCAGCCACTGTTATTTCCAGCATTAGGAGGAAGCCACATTCAGAAATGCAGAATAATTTGCCCAGTGAGTGGGCAAAGCTAGAATTCAGACTTGGGTCTTTTTGTTGTAAACCCAAGCTTAGGTCTCTTTAAGTGCAAATGGCTAAAGTTTTGAGTTCAGACTGGCTGGTCCAAATATGAGTGAAACTGGTATTGCTGGTATAAATGGCAGCTGGGCTTGGCCTGGGCTCCCTGGCTGGAGTGAGGCTACAGAGCAGGTCAAGGCTGCTGACACAGAGCTGAGTCAAGGCTGAAGGGAGGCCATCCTCAGCAGATAATGAAATCCAGCAAGCCAGCAAACCAGGGAACTGGCTGCTGATCTGCTCCCTGGGTCTGAACTGCAGATCTACCACCCAAGTTAGGCCCAGCCCTGAGCATAAGGACCAGTATGGGAACTGGGTTCTCCCTTCTCTAGGGGAGGAACAGGCCCCTCCCCTGACACTCCAGTTACCTGCCCTCCACTCCCCTCACTCTTCCTGGAGCACTTCAGCCTGGCTGGGGGGCAGGGCTGCGCATGCTGGTTGCACCACAGAGGCACCAGAGGGAGAAACTTTAATACACAGTCACCTGTGCCCCACCTCCAGAGACCCTGCCTGAGTTGGCCTGCTGGGAGAGAGGCCCATCGGCACCCTGATCTTCCAGTGACCAATCCAAAATACCTGGCTTGGTAGAAATGGTAAATCACAATTAAACAACAGTCTAGGTATGCACTGGCCTGAACTGGCAGCACCTAGACTAGCAGGATTTGGGACCAGGCTCAGAGGTGAGCCTCAGTGCAGGACAATTTGTTGGAGAAAGTAAGGAGAAAGCATGGCAAAACTAGAAAGCAGAGTGGGGAAAGATTCATGCAGCAGGGAGTTGCCCTTCTTTCCTTTGTTTCTTGGGAGATGGGCCAGTGAGGTCATTCATGTTAGGAACATTTGTTGGAGAAGGTGAGTAAGCCTGGCTGGCTGTGGGGCAAACTGACGCCCACTCAAGCAGCCATCTTCCAAAGAAAGAAGTGGCTGGGGGGCCAAGTCAGCTGAGGGTTGGGCATGGAGGCGGTGCAGGTGCTGGGGGTGAGCAAAGAACCAAGGGACGCTACCCCTCATTGATCACCAACTTCCCACAACCTGAAAGTCAGCATTGCCCACATGGAGATCTCCACCAGCCTGGCTTTTTGTTATCTTCTCTTTTCCTAATAAAAGTCCTTACCCTTTCTTTGAGGCTTTCATCTCTGGCCCTGTTCCTCCTTTTTAAGACATGTTTCTAGAAAGAGTAGTGGAAAAATATAATTCTCCTTTTATCTCCTGCAATCTGGACTCTGCCCCTCTGCATCTACACTCTGATGGTGTGGCCCTCCCGTTCCTTGGGCTGCCCCTGGAGTGTGGCATGCAGAACCTTCTTGAATGTCCCTGTTCTGCCTCCACCATTGTACATTGCCCATGGAACCACACCCCTATCACATCCAAGGATGCTCGCTCCTGACTGTGAGGTTGTTCTGTCTTTATTCCTTTCCTTTCTTCCCTAGCCCTCTGTCTCATGTTCCCAGGCCCCTTCCCTGACTTCATACATGACCTCTGGGCAGAGGGTCCTCAAATCTTCATCTTTAGCTCCTACTCCTCTGAAGTTCTGGCCCACATTCACTCCACCTGAGGCACTTGCCAGCTCCTCAAATTCAGGAAATCTCAAAACTCCATTCCCTTCCTTCTATGGCTTCTCCTAATATACACACTGAAGACAAATCACCCTCCCTTTCCAACTGGACCTCTTCCCCTGGATACATTCGTGTTCTCACTTATACTTCTCTCCTGATCCTTTTATCTCCATGCTCTGTGGTATTATCTGTAAAAGTAATATTAACAATAGCAGCAATGACCATAATAGTGGCAAATATTTATAAAGCACCCTTCTGAAAGCTTTCTGGTATTAAACTGATTAAACTTTGCCCCAAGGACTTGAGGGGGCTCCTGTGATCCTCCCCATTATACAGATGAATAAAGTTAAGTAGATTGCCCAAGTTTATCTAGCTAGAAAGTGTGGGCTCCAGAGCTTGCCAGCCTCAGCACTAAGCTGGACTTGTTTAATATCCCTATGATGAAAGTAGTTCCTAGAGGGCAGGACTGACAGCTGCTCACTTAGGGTTGAATCCCTTTCAGTGTTAATCCAACTCAAGAGCAGGCAAAAAGTGTGAGAATAGTCATCAGAGCACAGGAGTCCTGCATCTTTCAGGGGCTTTGGAGGAACCCTCACAGAAGAGAAGACAGATCATAAGAGAGGAGTACAATCTTTGGTAAAGGATATCTACCCTTTTTCTTTGGTAGAGTTGGCCCCCCAAAATTACCCTATGAGCAAGAATGTGCATAGACTATTCTCCCTAGAGGATGCCTTCACCACCCTTCAAGGTGGTTATTTCAGGGTCTTTGGAAACCCAGCATCTGCTCCATTTAGCTGATGTGGCCGTGGAGATTCACAGTGGTGCTGAGAATGGTGCCATGTGTGAAGTCCAGGGGACAATGGATCAGCGGGCCTACAGAAGACAGCCCAGGAGGCCATGGGAGGGTGGAAAATCCACAGCAGGCAAGTTATATATGAGTAGTTGAGTATTATCCGTCTAAATTTTACATGCTACATTTTAACATTTTTCTTAATGAATTTTATCTTCTTTTAATTGGTTCCTTTAAGGGGTGACCTAACATTTTCCAAGTTCTGATCTTCAGACATGGATCAGCAATTTCGGTGCGTGACTGGGTCCTCTCTTGGCAGCACACATATTTCACCGTTTACTATTAAAACTTTTCATTCATTGATCACCCTGCAGTATGACAGGAAGTCTACTGTGCGTGGGCACATGCAACAATGCTGGATGTGCCAGTGAACCCGAAGATTCAAACATACACTGAGAGGTCTTGGAAATGGAGCCCACTTCCAGAAGCAGAGCACCCTGCCTTACCCCCACATGTCTGCAGGGCCACGCTGTGTGCCTGGACCACAAAGCAGTTAGACCGGTCGGCTCGCACCTCAGGCAGGAAAGCCAGCAGAGAGAAGGCCCCAAATTCTCCACACAGGAGACCCAAGCCTGGGAGAGCAGACGAAGGCCCCAAGAGGCCAAGCAGCGAGTCAGGGTAGGCCAAACCTAAAGTCCTCCATATTCTTGCACACACATCTCGTTCATTCTCTGTGAGGCTGCCCCCAACAGCTGTGGCACCCAACTCATCAACTCCATGCTGACACTCCCTCTCCTCTGCCATTTTTTCCCCCAAGCCAACCAACTACACACACATACACAAATTATTATTATTGAAATTTCTGAATGAACATGCAAGTAGAGAGACTAGCAAATATTTCCCACATACCCATAGCCCAGCTTCAGCAAGTACAACACATGCCAATCCTGTGTCATTTACCCACCTTGTTTGTCTCTCCCTTTTGGAGCAAGGCGTTGAACTATTTGACACATTATATACTGTACTTATTTTTTTGTTTGTTTATTGTCTCTCTTTTCTCCAAACTAGAATGAAATAAACATGAAGGTAGTAATTTTTTTTTTTTTTTTTTACTATTCATTTCACTGCATTACTCTCAGAGCCCTCAACAGGGCCTATCATGCAGCAGAGGCTCAACAAATAGTCAGTGACTGAGTACCTAAGTGAATGAATGAATGAGCTGCCCACCCAGGCTCCTCCTGGGTGGCCCCCATGCTTCCATTTAATGGGGCCATGTGCAGTCAACCATACTCCGCTTGTTCCCCTCACCCTACCCAGGCCAGCTAGAGGAAGGAAAAGCAGTAATTATTCATCACAGGCAGTGTGGGCAAGTTTCTACTGCTGACAGGATCTTACAAACCAGTCCCATAAGAACCAAGAAGGCTCAGATATGGGCAACATTCCTAAAAGGCTACACATGGGGCAAAAAATATTAAATGTGTATTTTTGAACTGTGCGTGACAGAACAGCAAGCTCAGGCATATGTACAATACTCACATGCAACCACGAAACCTAGTCAGGTCATTGTTTGGCTTCTCACACTCGATTACACTGGTGAACGTCAAAGGATTGAATTCGGTTACCTAAAATAAGAGCACGCATACATTAGAGAAATTTGGGCTCTGACTGTTCCATTCTAAAAGGCACTTGCTCTTCTGTCTCACATCTACGCGGGGTAGGGAAATTTCATGGAAGGAGTCTGCCCAGAAACCTCTGCAGAATACCAATGCTCACAGAGCGTTTAGCTCATGCTTTCTCATTTTTATAGTGAATGATAACTGATGATTGTAGAATGAATAGCAATTAGTAGAACAGTACTGGTGAGTAAGTGAGCTGGAAAGGATTATAGCTCTAATGAAAATAAGAGAATATGAGATAACAACAAAGGAAGCCACTAATGACTGAAAGGGATGAATGAATTTTTTGAAACAGACCAGCACCTTCCAATTTCCTAAACAGATTAGAGAAGCAAATTCCATCTGGAAAATAGGAACTTATAACAAAATGACATTTCCTCAATGTGCACTAAAAATTTTGCACAGATATTTAATGAAATACATTTAAATAGCCAATGGGTAAGCCAACAATTTCTTTATTATTCTACTTGATGAAAAAGACGGCTCACCACAAAGTCTCTCATTGAGAATTCTGCCACTGAGAGATGTAACACTGCCATAAACCATATGACCAGATCAGGAGTGGAGAGAGGGAAGGGAGAAGAAAGGAGGAGGGGAGGAAGAAAAATGGGAGGGAAATGCAGGGAATAGGCCTTTAGTATAAATAACTATCATTAATGGATTTTTTTTTTTTAAATCAGCTCTCATTGCTCAGGCTTGTCATTCTTTTTTCTCTACCAAGAGTCACAACATGGTGAAAAGTTGAACTGTCTTTGCTCACACAAGTAAATCATCACACAAAAAGTGCAAGTGGTTAAAAATTATAGCAAAGGCATAAATGCTGTTAACACCACCCCAGGTGATTATGACTCTAACACAACAACGTAGTTTCCAGCACAGAATACAGCCATAAAGGTAATTACTCAAACGTCAGTTCTTACTGTTTTCCAGTGCATCGTGCACATTAAAAAGAGAACTCATTGGATAATAGTAGCTCAAGTCTGCCTTCAGCTCAGGTCATGACTCCAGGGTCCTGGGATCGAGTCCCTCATTGGGCTCCTTGCTCAGCAGGGAGCCTGCTTCTCCCTCTCCCACTCCCCCTGCTTGTGTTCCCTCTCTCGCTGTGTCTCTCTCTGTCAAATAAATCAATAAAATCTTTAAAAAAATTAAAAAAAATAAAAGCCTCTTCCTGAAGTTTAATTAGCCATCAGCCCTGTTCCCCTTGGACTGAAATGGCCTCTGGCTCTATTTCTAGAATGAGGCCATGTTTCAAGCTGCCTTGTGTTCATTTAAAGCCATGTGAAGTATCTTGGAGCCAGTTGGTCGCCTTTTCCAAGGCAGACATCGGCAGATGCAGCATCCAGGGTAGCCATGAAGGGACTGAGTTCCACAGCACACCAGGATTATTCTTGGCAGTCAAGGAGGGTGCACTTAAAATACTCTGTCTCTGTTTGTTATTCTTTCTCTCTAAGAAAAATGTAATGTGAATGGCTCAGAAATGGTAGGACATTCCGTCTCTGGACTCCAGTGCTGCATTCGTACCGTTCTATCAATAACCATGTTCCTTGGGGAATGTGCACGTCCAGGGCACAGGTTGCCTGGTTTCATCTGCTTCATCTGGAATTGGGGAGAATTTTGAGGATTTTTAGAATGAGAGAGATCTTCAGAGACTGTTATAAGTGAATTGTGTAACCACCCCCACCCCCACCCCATACCCCAGAATCCATATGTTGAAGTCCTAACCCCCCAGAACCTCAAAATGTGACCACACAGGATCTTTAAAGAGATAATTAAGTTAAAATGAAGTCATTAGGGTAAGCCCTAATACAATTTGACTGGTATCCTTATAAGAGGAAATTTGGATATAGACACACACCAAAGGACAATCATAAAAAGAAAAAGGGAAGAGATGGCCGTCTACAAGCCAAGGAGGGGTTTCTGAGAAGAAACTGACCCTGTGGAGACATTGGTCTGGACGTCCAGCTTCCAGAACTGTGAGAAAGTGAATTTCTGTTGTTTAAGCCACTTAGACTGTGGTATTTTGTTATGGCAGCCCTAGCAAACTAATGCAGAGACCATCTTTGAGTTTCTCATTTAGAAAAGGTTTCACATGCAGAAATGTTGGATGGGAAAATTCTACTTACATTGATTGTTTCTATATAAACTGACAATATAATAATACCCCATTTAAGAAATATATTTATCTCTCTGTCCACTCATCTACCTACCCATCTGCTTCATTCTAAACTGGCTTCAAGGTCATGCCCTCATCACCATCATCAGCCAAACTTTTGCCAACCCTGCCTCCTGGAGCATGGACAGAGTTACAGGACCCCAACCCACCCTTCCATTCTGAGCTTGCTAACTCCATTAAAAAAAAAAAAAAAAAAAAGGCACTTCCTCTTGCGGAAGATGAAAAAAATTCTGGAGGGAGGTAGATGATAATAATGGTTACACAACAATGTGCATAAAATTAATGTCACAGAACTGTACACTTAAAAATGGTTAAAATGGTAAATTGTGTGCTATATATATTTTACCACAACAAAAAAGTTATATACATTGAGAACTGAGTGTGAAGAAACGAATTACTCATCAAGTAGAACACAGCCCGGAAAACCAGGGATTTCAATACAAATCAGAAAGCACCATGCATGCATAAGAATTCCTGGGGGCACCACTCTACTGCATCACCTGCATCACTGTCACCAATTACTATTTTTTGATAGCTTGCTAAATGCCAGGCCTTGTGCTAAGTGCTATTCACCACCATTCAGGGCAGGGTTGGTTTTCATGCTACCTTTAATTTAGAGTGATTAAGGATCATGCCTAAAGTCATGCCCAAGGTCAAGAGGACTTTAAGTAACTGATAGCAGTTCCTTGGCCTCTAAGACATCCAGCTCAGCCACTGACACTAAGATTATCCTACTTTTAACAGGAGATGATGATACTGTTATCATATATAAGCCAGAAAGTGTATAATTCTACAGAAAATTTCAAAGATATTAAACATGTCTTTAAGTTTTAATGTTTTTAAAAACATGCTTCCTATTAAATATATCCTCGTCTGATTATTGATACCTACACCCTTCCCATCTTCAGCAATGCCTGTGGATGTGGAGTTATAGCAGAGTTCACCCAAAAATGGAGTAAAAACAAATCAGGAGACTTGGGATTTGAAGTTTAATAAATGTGAGACTGTTAGCAAGTCAAGAGAGAGCTTTTAGACTTGGATCTCTGAGGTCTCTGAAGCCCTATGAATCCACCAATCCACAGAATGCAGAGGGGGTTTTAATTCACGCCCATGCTTGTGACAGCCTCAGGACTGGGAGTTGCTGCAGAAGCAGCAGTACCTCTTGAGAGTGCTCTCACTCATACAGGCCCTCTAAGTGAAGCTGCCGGCCCTCTGCAGCAACCGCCACAGCACACCAAGCATCTTGGGCCAAGCGCAGCTGATGACATCACTCACTGCAGAGCAGGCATGTCCAAACAAGTACCTTACTGGCAATACTTTCTGCAGCTATACTCCGAATATTTCTCCAGCTTCTCTGGACAAAGTGATTCGATCTTATTACATGAAAAGGAAGAGAGGCAGGGCAGTGACACAGGAGAGAGCTCTGCCCCTGAACTTGCATTTTTGTTAGAAACTGCAGCAGCCAAGAGCCTAATGAGCCAAGTCACTGCAGCAGATGGTCCCTCCTTCAGATGCCCAGTGCTGATCACCCCTCATGCTCAGCACCCCCTCCAGGTAGAACACGTAGCTATGCAGGTGCATGCCCCCTGTTCAATCACATGGGGGAGGCATGATGTCTAACTGAGCAGTACCCAGACTGTTCACTGAATGAAGGCTTGATTCACAGGGAAGAGTCTGTTACCAATCTTATATTTCACATTTGCATTAAACGAATTGCTAATAAGTATTTAGTAAAAGTGAAAGTGCACTTCCTCCAACCTAAAACAAAAACAGTGATATCTCAAAGGACATTTTCAGTCCATTAAAGTAGACACCATTATTTTTTATCATAAGAAGAGTGAAGTGAACCAGTTTACACTTTTTGAAAATGGGATAAGCACATGCTTCCAGAGACCCCACCAGCTCTACATGTAGAGATTTCAGAGTGAGGCTGTCTGTCCTGGTCTCTGGATGACATGGTCCCAGAGAAGCCTGGTGGTGAGAGAAGCCCAGCAACAAATTGACAAGACAAAGAAAACAAACATGCTCCTTCTGTCCTCTGCACCTGGGACCCTGTCCTGAAAATGTCCTTTGTGTCACCTGTCATGATGCAACTAGTCACAAGGGACTCAGGGTTTCCCCTCTACTTCTAGCCTCAACATCACCACCCTACATCGGCCTTCAAAGGCTGATGACCGCGGCCATCTGGGTGGCTCAGTTGGTTGAGCATCCAACTCTTAATTTCGGCTCAGGTCATAATATCAGGTTGTGAGATTGAGCCCCAAATTGGGCTCCCTGCTAAATGGGAGTCTGCTTCTTTCCCTCTCCCTCTGCCCCTATCCGCCCCCCCCCCAGCTAGCATGTACTCATGCTCTCTCTATATATAAAATAAATAAATCTTTACAAAAAAATTTTACAAAGGCTGATTACCCTGTATTAGCTGCTGCCATACAGGATGAAATTCACATCCCAGTGTAGCAGCCAGGCTCTGCCCAAGGTTGGCTGCCACTCCCCCACCTCCTATTCCTGCTACTTGGAATGTCAGGCTCAGACCTTTCTGCATGGCTTCCTTTGCCCTCCCACCCTGGCTAACTGCCTCCTGCATTTCAAGAAGTGACAGCCCCTTCCCTAGGTAGGACAGGCAGGTGAAACTGCTGCGAACTTGCTGGCTTCATTCTTGTTTCACCGACTTCGGGTTCCCTGAGAACAGGAGCTCTATGCCCTCGAGACCAGCACAGAGCCTGGTGTACACATGGCCCAGGGTGATGGGTGCTTATTTTGCAAGGATCTCATA